GCATGTGAAATCCTACCATGATGTCTGTGCGAGAATTAGAGATATGAGAAAGATATAAAAGGCTTAAGTGTATGATTCAGTAGTATCCTAAAATACTCTTATAGTATTTTAACTTTATGTTTTGGTTCTAGAGTTTCTTGGTATATAGGGTTGGTAAGTTTTAGATTCGTTACCCATCGCGACCATTCCTAAACACATGTTGGTCATATATCGTATAAATATAATCGATCAAACTATATTTATCACATATATGATTACATAACTGCCCAGGCTTAATTGTAGGGTTTAACTCATCTAAATACTTTTGATGTGGTTCTTATTACGATGTTGTTTCTAGTATGTATGCATGTATGTATACTCTTATAAAAATACTTATATTTTAAAAAGTATACTTTTAGTCAAAGTGTTTTAGCCCCGTTGTATTTATAGTTGTATATCTTAAATGGTTTGATATACTTAGTTCACTATAAACAATGCTCTGATACCAATCTGTCACACCCCCAAACCAGAACGGCGGAAACGTCTGGGGACGGATGACTTTATGTACAATATCATAACAACTGAATAATAGAGATCAAAGCATTACAACCATTGTATTGAATATTTAATAAGTTTACATTGTGCTCAAAACATTGTTTACATGATATCAAATGCATATGACAAAAATGAATAACAAGATGTGACGACGTCCCATCCACCAAAATCTCTTGTGGTTACATGTTTACTAGTTTCCTGAAAATACAAGTGATTTTGAAAATTGTCAACAATTAAGTTGGTGGGTTCATAAGCGTTTTGTATGAGAAGAATTTGTAACTGTTTCGTGTAAAATGATAGTGTATACTTCCAGAAAATCCGATATTTTCTTTATAAACGAGCTGTAAGTCTTAAATCCCAAGACTAAAAATGTAAGTAATATTGTACTGAAAAATGATGTTATGAAGTTTTATCTTTATATAAAACTACTTGAATGTATGTTAACCCGTAAATCAAATGTGTTGTCGATACCTTATGTGACTTATTATAACCATACTAATGCGACTAATGGCCTGAACGACGCGCTTCGGACGCCGGAACTTTTATGACATTTGTCACCCCCAGACCTGCCGATCTAACTGTAGCTAACAGTTTAGGTGTGGGTTGTCAATCTCGTATAGATCTAGACACAAATGTCACACTCTCCCTACAAGAGACTATGGTTATAATTCAGGACTCTAGTGTGTACTCTGGTAGGTACGGTGAAACCAAATGTCTCACAACGAGTATTAATCGATTTACGTGAACTGAAAAACTCCTTTCTTGTAAATGTAATAATTATACCTTTAAATAATTATAAGTTTCTCCTGAAATGGTAGTGTAATGTTTTTGACTCTCAAACTATACCAGTTATAGTTTATCTTGTTTGTTTGTTGAGACCATTTATATAATCCTTTATATAAATACCTTTGTAGTGATCTTGTCTAGTATGAAAATGTAAGTTTAAACATCATGTTTTTGGATTGTAACCCAAAATAGTGAAATAATTAGAATGTACTCATTTTTGTTAGAAAATCTACATTTTTGGTAAAAGCTTCCACAAAAAACCTTGTAGTTTTACAAATCATAATTTTTCTTATGATTTTAAGACATGGAATATGTTTTGTCTTTGTTAGTTTTGCATTTGAAAACTAATATATTACAAATATTTGGATAAAAGCTAGTAATAACCATAACACATTCAAATAATATGTTATTTTAACATGAAGATGAACATTGCAAGTATTTGTGTGTTAAACCAAGTTTTTCTTGTATTCCCCTATAAAACATGAAAAAATCGAAAATGTGGGGGTATGAACTCACATTGAGTGGATTTGTGGGTTGTTTGAGGAGATGGTGTGAAGATTTCCAATCCTAAACTCTTGAATGGGGGTTGATGAACTATTTGAAGATGATATTACCCTGAGAGTTTTAACACATAATAATGTGTGTAAATATAACGAAACTAGTGTAAATGTGTGTAAAAACACTAGATTAACAAGAGGAACTTACCAAAATACTAAGAACAAGCTTAGGGAATTTTGAACTTGGAAGATATTTGGTCTTGGTTCTTGAGAGATAAGTGAAGTTAATAGAAAGTAGAATGGAAATGGTAGGGATCTTGGGTGCTTCCTGTTGTTTTTAAGGAGGAAAGGTGATAAGACTTTTACTTGGTTAACTGTTGGATAATGCTTGGATATTTGTTGGGTTATTGCGTGGGATACTGCCGAACTTTGCATGGGAAAAGGGTGATACATCTAATCATGAAGTCAACTTACTTATCTCTTCTTTATCTTGACCGAAAACCCACTAAATCACATGTGATTTCGGTCCTAGGCATGGTTTGACCAAATGATTTCGGTCCTAGTGGTTTTGGTCTTGGGGATTTTGGCCTAGGTGTGTTCTAGGCTTGTGATTTCGGTCCTACACTATTCCTTCATGATGTTTTCGGTTTTGGTAGCACTTATTAAAGGGTGATTTCGGTCCTAAGCCAACCGAAATCACTAGGTTGGTGGGGTACTAGGCCGAAATCTCCAAAGAAATGTGTAATTCATGATTGGTTCCAACTATTTTACTTGTCTTGACTTGTTATAACTTGTTGACTTTCAAGTTTTTATTATACATAAGATTTTCAGAGTATATATATATATATATATATTATATATATATATATATATATATATATATATATACTAATACAAATAATGCCCTTTTGGCTTTCAAAGTTTTATTGCAACAAGGTTACATTGTGATTTCATTTATACACAGGTACAACTTAGACCTTGCTTGACACAAAATTTTCTAGTTGTCACAAGAATTATCGGGACCCGCGTTTTGGACCATTGGAGTGAAGTTATGACTCAAGCCTGATTACATTGTATGTTTGACCTAGTAGATTGATGGAGTTAATGGATTAAGTCCTTATGGGTTAAGTAAGAACACTTAACCCTAATTGTCATTCTATGTGAAAACCCTAATTTTGTTTGGACCTTGAGTTGGGCCTCTCTATTGGGTTTTGGTGATTGAGTTATTGATGGGCCATCCAAGAGCAATTATATGGACTAGAATATTTGAATAGGCTTTAGAGTAAGCCCTATGTGAGGGGTTGGGCTCAATTTGGAAAATTAGGCCATAGATGGGCCATAACTGGGCCTTGATGATTATTAGATGTTGGACCATTGGAATGCCAAATGTTTGGACTAGAATAAATGGTTGGGCCTTAGGGTAAGACCATGTAAATGTTTGGGCCCAATTTGGAAAATTGGGCCATATGTTGGGCTTTGATTCATTGTTTGACTTTTGGGCATTGGATTAGGCCTTGGGCTTGAATCAAGCTAAGTTGGGGGTAAAGAAGTATTTTACCCCAAGCATAGACTTATGGTTATGTGTTGGAACCCAATTATTAATTGGGTGTTATTTTGATGTTGACAGTTCGGGAATCTGTCATCCAACAGCTTGAGTTTTGTCCGCGGGACTTAAACAGTGTGAGGTGAGTTACCTTCCAGTAGAAGTGGGTCGAAGGCACCAATGCTGGCCCATTAGTAGTTTATTATAGTTAATATGATTGTCTTTGTGATAATCGTCTAGTATGTCACTATCTGTTATGCTTTATGTGCCGGTATTATGATATTATGTGATAGTGGTAGGAGGGGTAGGTTAGACCCCGTAGCCGGTTAAGATAAACTGGAGGGTAGGTCGGGCACCCAGATATGTCTGACAATATGTTTATGCTATGTTAGTATGTGGTAGTGGTAGGGATGAAATAGTCCACGTAGCCGGTTGAAATAAACCGGAGGGTAAGTCGGGCACACAAATATGTCTGACAGGGTTGGTCGAGCACCTAGATATGCTTGACAGGGTAGGTTGGCCACCCAAATATGCCTCACAGGGGTAGGTTGGGCACCCCAGTATGCCTGACAGGGGTAGGTTGAGCACCTAGATATGCTCAGTAGGGTAGCCCGGGTACCCAGATATGCCTGACAATATGTTTATAGTATGGTATGTGGTATGATGAAGGAACTCACTAAGCTTCGTGCTTACGGTTTTCAACTTTGGTTTCAGGTACTTCATCTTCAAAAGGAAAAGAGCCGGCATGATCGCAGCGCATCACACTATGTTTTTCGCACATGAGATCTTTGGGATTATACTCTGATATTGTTTCATTATGATATGTTTTGGAATATTGACATACTGGTTTGACATGGGATGACACTATGAATGTTTTTATACTTTTAGTTTTATAATAACTTAATTAAAAATGAAATTTTTGGTCTTGAATTTTGGGATGTTACATTTCAAACAAGGAAAACGTAAAATTTTACACATTTATGGGGAACGTATTAAAAAGTTGTGTGTACGGTGCCCACAACATGGAATCAACGATTACCTGTTCTACAGTGGTTTTGCGAATGACTGACTCCCATGGAGCGGAGATTGGTAAATACTTCAAGTGTGAGATTTATAGGAGATATGATACCAACCTAAATCCGTGCGTTGATCGAAAAGCTGATTATAGAATCCACACATTTTGCGAACGAAGACAAACGACGTTCTGATCACAAATTTTAAATTTTGACGAATATATCAATATTTTTAAACATGATATAAATTTATATTCACCATAAATAATTTGGAAAATCAGGGCCTAGTTCGAAAATGTTAGAAAAAAGCTCTTGTCGAATTTGTTTTTTTGGTTGAAAAACATAGTTTGAAAAATAATAATGAAGTTAAAAAAATACTCCAATCGAACTCGATGAGTATTTAAGTTAGTTCTTGTAATTTGAAAACGATGGTAATTCTTGTGATATAAGGTCGATGTAATTTTATCATTTTGGTGATTATCCATGTAAAATATCATTGAAAGGGCCTCCATGTCAATTAATGTAAAGTTAGATGTCTTTTTGTCAATTGACTAAAGTCAGTAGACATTATTGTAAAATGAGCGAGCGCCTGCCCCTTTTCACGTTTCAGTAAATATTTTTTTTTAAATAGCGTCGAAAAGAGGTCTGCTGCAAAAACCCTCGAAGAAGATAAAAAAATCAAATTTCGCGATCTAGGGTTCTTGGCTGCAAGAAATGGTGAGCTCTTTATCCGTCTGTGTTTTTGTCACCTGTTATTTCCGTAAACATGTAAATTCATCCGTTTTTTCTCACACATTTTTAATGCGTTTACTCTATCATTTACAGGCTGACTCTCCTCGACGAAGGTAAACCCTAAATTCCTAAACATCGTTTTGTTCTTTTTATTTCTCGATTCTTGCTTATTGGCGTGCTTTTCGTTACCTAAAGTTTCTCGATTTGTTAAAACCTACCTGTATTATTGTTTTTATCATGTTGAAACCCTTTACGAGGTTAGACTGTGTTATTCGTTAAATAAAAAGATACTATTAAGCCTATGAAGTGGAGATTCGTGTTGTCAGAAACTGGGAGTAGTTATAATTGGAATAGAGTCTTATACTGAATACTGAGCTTCGAGGAGCATGTTATTGTATATCGACATGTCCTTAAAAGAAGTTACTATTTACCCTGAGTTTTAATGCAAAATGTTTCAGAATACACACTATATGTTTTTGTCTTTTTGAGCGTGAATATTTTGAATAGCTTGCTGAGAGTTTGAGGTCTTGATATCTTCATAGGATTTGCATTTAATCTTCTAGTTTCCTTATAATTATGATCTATAATACTAGGATATGGAGCCAATAAACTGCAAAGTAAAATCTTTTGTCACAGTATGTTAGCATTTTATCCAATTTGTATGCCTTGAATCAGAATTTTATGTTTACACTCATCATGTAAGCTTAGCGAATCTACAATTCATCACATAATGCTTCTTGATATAATGCACAGCTTGACAAATGACAACAATGAACATGGTTATGTGAAACAATTCTAGTCCCTCTTACAAAATAACAAATATTCAAACAACATCTAGGCTACATACTATGAAATGTCATATTTTGAATGTTTAAGTGCTTGATGTATGCATATGAATATGATTTCCAGGTATTCACGATCTCCCCCCTATGAAGCACCATCCAGGTCAAGATCCAGGTCAAGGTCTAGATCTAGGTCAAGATCCTGGTCAAGGCCAAGAGGTAGGCCCGCATCAAGATCAAGATCCAGAAGTCGTGGAAGGGAAGAGGTTGTAAATCCCGGAAATACCCTTTACGTAACCGGCCTTTCCACACGTGTCACACAAGAACAGCTAGAAGAACACTTTTCAAAAGAAGGGAAGGTTAGTTACTTTCCAAGGGCACAACTGTCTTTTTCTTGGAATGACTAAAGACTAATACTTTTTCTTTCTTTAGGTGGCTAACTGTTTTCTTGTTGTGGAGCCTCGTTCGCGTATTTCTCGTGGGTTTGCTTTTATAACAATGGATACTCTTGAAGATGCGAATCGCTGCATAAAGCATCTTAACCAGTCTGTTCTTGAACATCGCCAGATAACTGTAGAGAGGGTGAGTTAAGTTAAGTTAAGTTAAGTTAACTTAAACCATGGTTAAGTGATATGTTTTGAAAGTATTGAGGTTTACTTTACTCTACTGGGTATATTATCAGTTATGTTGGCAGCAATCAAAATTGATGAGTTGAGTTGATCATCCATGAATCAATCAATCACAATGCAACTTTTAATCAGCTTGATCAAATGGCCAGCTTCCTAAAACAACAGCATCATTTCAACAACTAAACATAGCAAAAGCTTATTACAACATGGGCATACTTTCAACTATCAACTAATCAACGGTCATTATCAACTGCAAATATATTCAACTATCAACTAATCGCGGTTAATGGTATCGTTTACCCGAACCTGATATAATGGGGGTACTGCCAGGCACATGCTTTTTTTTTTCTTGACCTCTTTTTCCTCATCCAAAGATTCATGGCTTTTTTTTTTTAAAAAAAAAAAAAAAAAATGTTTTTTAATAAAAGTTTGCATGTTGATAATGTGTATGTAGTTGTATGATATTTGAGGTATATGTTTGTTGAAAGAAATTTTACTTGAGGTTGTTTATTTTTATTTATTTCAGTCGCGAAGGAAACGTCCAAGGACACCTACACCTGGACATTACTTGGGCCTGAAAAACACTAGGGACACTGGTAAATTTTCTTCCTTTTATATCTTTTAGGTAGTGTTTGGTGTGATGGAATCAGAGAAGGAATGGAATGGAATTAGCCAGTTCTTTTGCCAAATGATATAACTATAACATATTCCTATGAAAATTGATTCCATTCCTACATGTCTTAACCAAACATTATCATGACATGTAAATTGTAATGACACATTCCATTCCATCCAACCAAACAAATAAATGAAATTTGTTGTCATGTTTTGTTTAGGCTATCGTGGTGACAGAGGAGGAGGAGGTGGAGGAGGGAGGTATCGTGGCGGCTCTGGGCGGGATGACTATGGATACCGGAGGTCCCCAAGGCGGTCACCACCACCGTATAGAGGTGGTCGTGATTACTCTCCAAGGAGGTCACCGCCACCATACAGAGGTGGTGGTGGTGGTGGGCGGGATTACTCTCCTAGGCGGTCACCTTACTATGGTGGGAGATCAAGGAGGGAGCGAACACGGTCTCCTCCTTATTCCCCCCCTTACAGGAGTCCCGAAAGGCACTATGCTCGTCGCTAGATGCTTAGTTAACTTTTCAATCCAAATATATGTTGTGCTTTTTTTTTTTTTTTTTTTTCCTTTTCTTTTTCTGTTGGTTTAAAACGGTGAAATTGGGTCTATCTTGTGAACTCTTATATAATATGTTGCAGACATCTATGTAGTCTATGCATATGGTTTTAGTCTTTTAGACATGCTTTTAGTTTTTTAATGTTGGAAAATCAAATATGGCCCCATTATGTGGAAGAGTACACATTTTCAACAAGTATGAGTATGGTAGTTACATTTTTGGTTACAATGACGATTTAAATTGTTATTAAAATTATGTGAAGAGTGGTTTGACTAAACTTATTATTTTGTTGGTAAATTTATTAAGAAAAACCAAGGTACAAGGAGGGTGGGAAATCACTTCGAGATTCGAAAGATCACGTCGCAAAACATGCATAAAAGTTAAAACGTTGAGTGTACAATTTTAGTCGCGTAATGTGCAAAGTTGCTGTATCTATATTCTATTATGTTGTAGGTCATGGGTCATGTTCATTGAGATTATTAGTTTTAGCAAACCAGTCAAAAATTGTCTAATTTAATTGTTAATCCATATAACCTATTAGCTGTTAAGTTTAAAAGATTTGTATAGTCCTTGGAGAAAATGACTAATTTACACTGCAAATTTGGATTTGGATGTAGGAAATTCATACTTTTTTTAGTTTTGAAAATAGGTTACTCGGAAAAAGTATTATAAATGACTCAACTTTGATCCTCATAACTTTTTTATATAAATTCCGTTTAAGTTGAATTTTGTTTTTATTGTATTCTTTGTAACAAGGGTTACATATTAAACTCCTAATTTGGATGTCAAATTCTTTTAGCTCTAAAATAGGCTATTCGTGAAAAAAAACCTTCATATCTTTTGCATGTGAATTTCATTTGATATTTGTTAATTATTGATGATATAACAATTATCAGACCATTTGAGTTCTCTTAATCACAAGGACTGACATGCAAAAATACAAAAGATTAAATCCAAAAGAAAAATCATAGGCCATCAAGATTTTCGTAAGTAATGATCAGCTGTTGGGGTTGGGTTGAGTTTTCTGACCCACTAATCTCTTTATTATGTAGGTCGTGTTCGAGTTTACAAATAATTTCGTCAGTTAACCAGTAAATCGTTTTATTTTATTAGGTAAAAAATAAAATAAAATATATATTTATTAAATAAAAGAAAGTAATGACTAATAAGCAATATATGATATTAATTTTTTTTTTCTTTTATTGGTTCTTGGAGGAGAGTAAGGACTAATATAAATAGTGCTATCTACCAAAACTGATTATGACCCATAAGCCCAGTTGTAACATGTAAACCCATAAAACTAAGTTAATCAAATTTGCATATTAGGCTAGAAGGTGTGGAGTTCATACACATCGGCAACCGTCTCGACAAACTCAACAAACACCGTGCCGTGCCTTTCAACATGGCAAGAATAACAACTCTTTCGGCAATAAGTTACCGAGCTTTCTCCCCCATTTCTTTCATTTGACTTTTTGACCAAACAATCACAATGCCTTTATTCTTTTTATTTTATTTTATTTTTCCATTTTTTTTAACTTGGCAAAAATGTCACAATGAAAAAATTTTGAAGTAGCATGACAAATACCTATGTTGACCTAGAAAACTTGGCACCACTCCAGCGAAATGGTTGAACAAAACTACACAAATGTTTATATGATTAGTAAAGTTGAGCTTTCTGACTAGTTAACCGGTGTGACACAAACACCGCCCTAGCCGGCAGTAAAGTTGAGCCTTCGGTTACCTGAGGCTTCGCCATAACCATGCCCACACCTCAGTGGACTATACCCTTCTTCTCCACACTGCTCGACTACTGTTCTTCCACAAGAAATTTACGTATACTCAAAAAACTACATGCCCGAACGATAATCACAGGAGTCTCCCACCACGATTTCATTCGTGCAAAACTCGTCTCATCGTATTCAGTTTGTGCTCAATTACTCGAGGCATCCATTATCTTCTCACTCACTAATCGCCGATCCACTTTCCTCTACAACACCCTTATCCGAGCCTTCTCATCTCTAAATCACTTCTCCGATTCTCTCATCCTTTTCCGCGAAATGCTCCGTGCTCATAAACCCTTAGACCGCCACACTCTACCCCCGGTCCTCAAATCCTGCGCCGGTGTTCCAGCTCTACGACTCGGACGCAACGTCCATGTCCTTGTTTTCTCAAACGGGTTTGATACCGATGTTGCTAATTTAAATTCTTTAGTAACAATGTACGGCAAGGGAGGCGATTTAGTGAGTGCCCAGAAGGTGTTCGATGAAATTTCCGAAAGAAACGTGGTTACATGGTCGGCTATGATGAGTGGGTATGGATTGTACGGGAGATGTGAAGAAGTGTTTGAACTGTTTGAGAGAATGGTTGGTGATGGGGTGGTGCCAGATGGACTGACATTTACAGCGATTCTTACTGCATGTAGTCATGGAGGATTGACTGAGAAAGGGAAGGAGTACTTTGAGATGATGAAAGATAGATGTGGATTGAAGCCATGTTTGGAACATTACACTTGTATGGTTGATATGTTGGGGAGGTCAGGGAAGGTGGAGGAGGCAGTGGCTATGGTTAAAGAGATGGATGTTGTTCCAGATGAGGCTTTAATGGGTGCATTGGTGGCTGCGTGTAAGACTCATGGAAAGTTGGAATTAGCTCAGAGATTATTAACTGAAATGACCTATGCAAGAAGGTCAATCTCAACATAATGGATACAAAATACATTTCAGATCTATGGACTATGATAAAGATTGTATAAAGTTTCCACAATGAAATCAGTGTTACAAGTTACAATGCTTTAATTCACAAATTCCTTAAATGTCCAACATATTTACTATCTTAACAAATTCACAAATCATGTAGTTAAAATATCGGGCAGTGCGGGCGAGTGGGACCCCATTACTTTACCTCCAACATCAGGGAAATTCTCAAATCCGGGCAGCGAGCTCACCTTCCCATCACCATTAACTTGTAATGGATACCTTAAAAGATGACCTTCCAATGCTGTATACTTCTCATCTGTATATCGTTTCCAGTTATCTTCAGCTATTTTATTAACACTATTTACACACTCCAAACTTTCTGGCTCCATGTAGCATTTCTTTAATGCCCCCAAATGTTCAGCCCACAACGACATTCTATAACCATACACCTGAAATTTGAATTATGTTCGTCAAACTTAGGTTGTTTTTATTGATGAAACTGAAATATATATGAGCAAGATATTGTAAGGTGTGGTGATATGACACCTGTCCATATGGGTGTTGGTTTTTTGATGCCCACGTGTGATGGGGTTGATATGAACCCATGGCTATTTCGGTGTCTTTTGAACCAGCTAAAGATCTTTGATTAATGTTGGCAGACCCCACAATTACATACTCATCATCCACGATCATTCCTTTAGCGTGTACATAAATCATGAATCTCATGAACTTTTGTGAATCTGAGACCTATAACACAATCAACTTGTAAACCAAATGCACAAACTGTTGTATGTATAAATGGTATTTAGAAAACATTTTGATAAAATGACTTGAAAATTGGAAAAAATAAACGAAGACTTTCTCTTGCATCAAGTAGAAAGAAACATATATACTAGAGTAGAATGTGTTATATACCTTGTCATCTGTAAATAATTGATTCATTTTAAAAGGTAATTCTTCCCGTTTCCCAAGGCAATAGAAATTTAAGTAGTCTTGAGGGTGCACTTTTAGTTGCATGGATTTGATTGCTTGTGTAACAACGTTGTACATCATTTGCATTGTCTGCCTCTAATTACAGATTCCAACATTTTGGAAGTCAGATAATCCATTGAAATTTGTATCTTTATATTTGCTTTTAGTTTGTGATTATATTTTTTTAAGAAAATAAATAATACCTGCCAATAAAGAATTTCTTGCACTGTAGCAGAAGTTGGGACACCCTCAGGCCACATTGGTATCACAACATAAACCGAAAATCTCTCATTCTTTCTTATCTTACTTGCTATTTTTTGAGCCAACTCCATAGGGATTAAGTTATCAGCTCCTAAAAATTATCAAAATATCAACATGTTATCAAACACAGATTACAAGATTTTGAAATTAAAATTAAAAATAAAAATGGAACCTGCGTTTTCGTATGACCATGCGTATGATGATCCAATGAAATATTGATTCTCAATGTAAATGAAATGCTGAGCTGATCGAATCGCTTGGATATATGCTGTTTGAATACTCTTGTCTATAACCATATTTTTTGCAGTAATAAGATTCTACAAACAAACATCAAAAAAGAATACTATGTATCATATGATTCATATTCGGAATTAGATATATAACAAAAAAAAAAGAAGCTTCAATTGTTAACCTGTGCCTCAGCAACATCCACAGTTTTGGGAAATCCTTTCAAAGATCCGGAATCAATAGACCGAAAAATCTACAATGTAAGAAAAAACCATGAGTTTATGTAAGAAAGAGACTATTTTTTCGAGGAAGTTGATGAAAATCATGAAATTTGTCACCTGCACGTGCCAGTTTTCAGGGTCTTCTTCACTGGACACGTGTAACATTGGATCATCTTCAGGAACAATGGTGTGATCTCCATGTTCTGGAACAGGATACTTAGGGCTAGCAATCCATGAAATTCTGTCAATTTTTAACAATGCATCATCTTTCCAATGAGCCATTCTTTTAGCAACTAATGCAAATTCACGCCATTTTGTAGCTTTTCTCCATCGTTGCTCAAAGTTTAGAAGAACATCATATGCAGCAGGACCATCCATTTTGCAGTGTAAGTCATGCCATGGCTGCCTTGGGGCCTTTGTTCCTGCCTAATTTGGATAATAAGAAAATGGAAATTGGAAATCAATCATTGCAGAATAATGGAAGGTGGGAATGGCAAACTCACAGGGAAGGTAGGTTGGTGAAAATCGTCTCTGAATACAGAGTCAAGATCTTTAAATAATCTATGTTCAGGTGTGTCATATCGTCCATCACAGAGATCAAGACCACCTAAAAAGGCTGTAATCTTTCTGTTATTGTGGTATGATAATGATTGTGTATCCACGAGTACACATTTCTGATGGTGTGTAAAAGCACCTCCAACAACCTGTTGTTTGAAAAGCCCTAGTTTACCACTTCCATAGCGAGGTGAAAGCACACAGTGCACAGATGAATGCCTGAAAAACTTCCTGGTTTCTTCATCGTGAGTTTGCATTACTCCAGTCTGAATCGATCACCATTAAGACAATTAGCTCGAATCGATCAAACCACATCGAACAATTAGAATGCTGAATTGTAGATTGATTTTGAAATCTTACCGTGTTAATGAACAGCTTACTGTGAGAAGTTTTATCATCCCAAACCAACAACAAAACCCTAACCCCTTCTTCGGATTTGTATTTGAGCAATTCACCAAGTGTCAAGTCACCACCTCTGGGCAATTGACGAGTGGGTTCTCTGATTAGTTTAATTTTGTCAAAAATGGACCAACCGACGATGTATATCATATGATGAGCTGATGATATAGCCTCACATATATCTTCCCAACACGAATTGTGCTCATAAACCTTACCTCCGTCCAATTCAATCTTAGGCATCATAGATCCAGGCATGATGTGAGCATCCTGGTATAATCTCACCTCAGAACCTTTCCTCACCGGAAAATATGTGTTCCGGACGCCTTTCAGCTCCGGATCTCCAGCAATCCCGTGCCGGTAAAGCGGATTAGTTTCACAGGGTACGAACTTCATCTCCAGCCTCAGCGACGCGTCATCCTTGCGTGAATTTTTCAGAGGGAACCAACCGGTGATCACTTTTCCGGTAGCGATCTCCTCCGCAGGGATGTGAACGAACCCCAACAAATCAGCCCCGAAAATATCGTCGTCTTTCACTTCGAACTCCAAGTGAACAAGCTCGTGAGCTAACGGAATGATAAATCGCTCGTTCCACCTTGGGTTTTTGGAGTTTTTCAACACACGCGTACGTGCGACGGCTGCTTGAGGCACCGATACTTTGACGTAAGGATCGCTTGCAATGATCTTCCGACCGCTGGAACGCAGTTTCTTGTCTGGGGATCCAGCGGTAGAGGTGTCTTCCGGGCAAGAATCGAAGGACACGCAACGGAGGATGTGACCGGTGACTACATCCATATTCGGTAAGTTTTGAGCTTCGATAACTTGGAGATATAAATCACCATGTAAGAATACAACCTTCGCAGAAGCATTATCCGCCATTTTGCAATTTGAAAAACGGATTAAACAAATCGAACAACTTCAATATTCGAAAACAATCAATGAACTACAAAACGCACATAATCTACACAGGTTATGAAGTGTTTTCTGTGAATATTTGGCACAGTGGCTAATTGAACGGAGGTGAGCTGATAACAATGGCGTCGCCACCATCCGTTCGCGCCATAATCAGCTAGAAACTGTTGTATGGGAAAATCTCTTGGGCGCGGTGGTATTTATTGTACATTTTGATTTAATTACATAAAACACCCTTAAGGTTTGTGGTTGTTTCCAAAACTAGTTTGGATACACAATAATTTTAACAAAGAGTTATATGATAATTTAAATAAGTCTTCAAGATGTAAAAACATAAATAATAATAATAATAATAATAATAATAATAATAATAATAATGAAATTTTTTTGAGATGATTATCCGATTATTATTATGACTAATAAAGTCCCAATAATGACATTTTAACAAACACATTTTGTTATAGGACATAGGTATTCAAAATTTGAAATCGCCAATTTGTATTTTACTCAACACATTTGCCATGAAGATGTTAACATTTTTTTTTTCTATTTTTGTAAGACTGATTTTGTACGTATCTAATATTTGATAGATTAAATTTTATAAAATCTAAGCCAATAATACTATGCAATTGCTTTTTTTTTTCCCAAAAAAAGGCTTTGTAGTTTCATTTGTAGAAATTATAACGTAAGTGTTTTGGTATGGCCCAAGTGTGTGCTTTTGTCAAAGGATAACTTTGATTCTCCATTTGCTAACACACCACATAAAAAATTGGCATATTCAATGGTTTCTTTCTTTACGATTATTTCTTCCTTCCTTGTATTTTGTTTGCATTTTTATTAACATCACCTGTATACCTTAAACTCTTAAAGTTATTGATTAAATATCCAAGTTTTATCATCAAGTTGATTATATTTGTTAAGTTTGTTGAAATGAGATTACGCTTAACTAAACGTTCACTACTTGATTTATTTATTACTCTATTTTTTTTGTTAAGATATGCGATATACTTTAATTTTTGATCCTTAAATAGCAATGTACTTTTGTTGGAAAAAATGGGTTTTGCCCATTTTCGAACACAAATTTCGGTTCATGCATGAAACCAAAATGGAAATATGTTTATGCATGAAACCAAAATGTCTTCTTTTCGGCGATACATACATTTTCGTATAATCTTTAAAACTCAAATTTAGGGGGAAATAGTGCAAAAGTTTACTATAATTTTATTAATATATGTTATGGAAAAAAGTGTCCAAAACCTCAGGCCATCTAAAACTCACAACTCAATGTCCCTCGTCTCTTAGTAAACTCCGAGAGGATGATGTTTAAACACAAAATACACAAGAAACAATATATACCACCATATTAGATGTATAAAGGCCTCAACTTCAACACTTCAACCAAACGGGTTACATGTGAACCAACACAAATGAATTACATGAGGGTTTGTAAAGACTAACACGTACATGAAGGAATTTTAGAATGTCATTCGCAACTTTTATACTTCAAAACTTTAAAGTGTAGATATCCAAGTTGTCAAGTGTCTAGACCATACTAGTCTCAAACCCACCTAATATATGAATACACATGATCATGAATTTAGAAACTCGAAATTTCTTGAAAACATATGAAATGCGTCCCCACTTCAAACATCTGTTCTTTAAAACATTTACATGGGATAAATGCAAGCAAAACCTATGGAAAACTAGGTAATATATACATATAGTATTGCAAGTAATATATAAATATATTATATCATTTAAATGAAAACTCAAAGTACATTTGTTATATTTTGGGGACATATGCTCGTATGGTAGGCTTGAGGAACCAACATAATTACCATATCTCAAAATTATTGAAGATAACATCAATTAGAAGTTTATAACCCTATTTCATCCATATAGTACCCTTATCGCCTAAGAGTCGACCAAAACAAGTATAAAAGACTTACATTTCTCATATGTACCCAAAAGCCTTTTCACTTGGAGCCCTTGTATAGTCTACATAATGACTTTGTAAGTTCGTACAAAATTCTATAAGAGCTGTAATATGAATTGTAAGGCTGGAGGGAGTGGTAACATGTGGTAGCATGTGCTAAAACATTGCCACGTCATAATTTTATGGACACGTAAGCTTAATATGATGATATGGAGTGAGGATGTGTTTAAAAGACAAAACATTTATTTTCTTAATTTTTATTTAACTATTTATATAAAATAAATTATAAAATGGTACAAGTTGTTAAGCTGAATGTAACATCCCAAAAATACAGTCTAAAAATTTCGTTTTACTTTAATAATAAAACCATAGTCATCGAACATCATATAAAAATCATAAACAGTGTATCTCAAAATATCATAACAATTGTCCAAATATCAGAGTATAAACATCCCAGACTGAACAGATGGTGTGTGCACTGCAATCTTCCCGAGCTCCTCCTTTGGAAACTGAGTACCTGAAACCAAAACTGAAACTGTAAGCACGAAGCTTAGTGAGCTCCCCCAAACTACCACATACCATACAATAACATATAAAGCACATACTGGGCCTTGCCCACTACATCGGACCGAAGTCCGGAAACTGCATCGGACCGAAGTCCGGAACTACCCAGGGCCTTGCCCTCTGGATCAGACTGAAGTCCGGAAACTGCATCGGACCGAAGTCCGGAACTAACCAGGGCCTTGCCCTCTGCATCAGACCGAAGTCCAGAAACTGCATCAGACCGAAGTCCGGAACTAACCAGGGCCTTGCCCTCTGCATCGGACCGAAGTCCGGAAACTGCATCGGACCGAAGTCCGGAACTAACCAGGGCCTTGCCCTCTGCATCAGACCGAAGTCCGGAACTGACTGAACATAGCATAGCATAATCATAACTACTAGCATAAACACATATACTGCATACTGTATCAGACCGAAGTCCAGAACACATAACACAAAGACATACTTGAATCACAAAGACATCAAGCACACTGAACTACTGCATCGGACCGAGGTCCGGAACTACTACTAACTAAACGGGCCGGCATTGTGGCCGTAGACCCGTTCCTACTGGAAGGAAACTCACCTCACACTGTTGAAGTCCCGTAGACACAATCCCACACTACTGAAGTCCCGCAGACTCAACCCCAGCTGCTAGATAACAGATTCCCGAACTGTCAACACCAAAATAACACCCAATTAATAATTGGGTTCTAACACATAACTATAAATACATACTTTGAATAATTACTACATTACCCCTAGCTTGGCTTACCCAAGCCCAAGGCCTAATCCATAGGCCCAAAGTCAACTAGGGATCAAAGCCCAACATATGGCCCAATTTTTCCAAATTGGGCCCAAACCTCTACATGGACTTCCCTTAAGGCCCAATTGTTCAATCCAGTCCAACATGTCTCATTTTAGGGGCCCAATATCATACAACCATCTAGGCCCCAACTATGGCCCAATTTTCCAAATTGGGCCCAATTCTTCATATGGGCCTTACCCTAAAGCCCAACTAATTACTCTAGTCCATTTAATTATTCTTGGATGGCCCAACACAAAGCCCAAGTGAAACTAGGGTTTCACATAAAATGACGATTAGGGTTAAGTGTTTCTTACTTAACCCATTAAGGACTTAATCCATTAAGTCCTTTACTCTACTAGATAAATGATATGGTAAAATCGGGCTTAATACATAATCCAATCTCAATGGCCCAAAATTGGGTCCAAATAAGTCTAAGGCCCAATTACTCACAATTAGGGTTTTCTAAACCCTAATTAGGGTTTTCTAAACCCTAAATAGGGTTTTTCACCCAAACACGGCCCATTAGGCCCAAAACTAATCCGTAAGCCCATTAGGGTTTTTGCTGGGTCAATTAGGGTTTGCTGGTGGGGCACCACCCACTACCACCTCGGGTAGTGGCGGTCCATGGCGGCTCACGGCGGCGGCCACCACCTTACGGTGGTGGTTTGAGTTTCTTTTCATTAATATTTTGGAAATTACAATTACAATGCTTTATCCAAAATAATCCATATACTCACTAACACACACACTAACTAATTCACACACTATATAACACACACACACAGCCACACCATGGTGGCCGGCGGCGGTGCTTGGCGGCAGCCACCATGGCTGGCGGCCATGGTGGGTATCCTTTCTATTTTCCGGCTATCAACACTACCCTCAACACACACACACACACGAGCTGGACACATAAAACACACCCCATATGATCACAAAGCAACTCCAGCCACCCCCCGGTGGCGGTTAGCGACGGCAGCCCCAAGGAGAGGCGGCAGCTGCGAAATGGCCGTTGAAACGGATGCATCGGCGGCATGACGACGATGGCTAGAAGCTTATGGACTCAACAACATCGAATATCCCTTCCTGATACGAGACCACCGTTCTAATCCATCGACTAGGCAGCAGGTGGCGTTGGAACGAGTTGAATCGGCGACTGAGAGCCATTTCCGGCGGCAACGACGGGTCATACGGGCGGCGGCGGAACAGCAGCGCCACCCCAGAGCTTATAGCGACTGAGTCTTCCCAATTGCGTCGGTTCATAGCAGCAACACTCAATACAGTGGCGGTTAGGAGGTTGACGGCGAACAAAACAAACCGAAGAAGAAGATGAGGCGCGTGCTCGAGTCCCCCGTCGGCAGCTCCGTCTTCAATAGCTTGGCAGCAAGCATCGACAGCGCCCATGGAAGGAAGTGGCGGTGAATGCTGGAGAGGATGGCGGTTGCTTATTACTGCTAGGGTTAGGGTTTCGCATGCGTAATAAGGTGACGGGTTTAATACCCGTATCCTTTCCAAACTTCAAATGATTTTTACACATTCGGTCCTTCCTTGTATGATTCCTTTCAAAACAAGCCCACAATTTACCATTTAAACCCTCAGTATCAAAATCCATTACAAATTAGGTACAATATTTACCTAATAGCCCTCCACTTTTAGAATCTTTGCAAAACTAATCCAGGATTTACCTTATTAACCCCCAATTCTCAATTATGACATATTCAACCCTTCCCTTCTCTTTTCCTTTCAAATTAAATCCATATTTACCCAATTAGCCCCTCTTCTACAAAATATTTCCAATATAAGTCCACGAACTATGAAACGAACTCAATTGATTACTCTTAAGCCATATATTCAAACATTCTTCGCACTACAAATCTCGAAGGCACTCTTAGACCTCCAAAACCGATTATAATGCCAGTTACATACTTTTCCACTAATCATAAATCAGAATAAATAACACTAAAAACACATTTTCTGATTTTAGGGTTTCTCTTGGAGACGGGGTGTTACACTGAAATTACAAGCACATAAAGCTGATATAGTCAGCTGGGACCACCAGTCTTACTCTTTCTTCTCGCCAAGCAACCAACGAGTTCATCTTAGCGCAGGTGCTTGGCGCATGGTCAGGGTGTGGTAGCGAGCTTTTGGCAATGGCTTAGCAAGGGAGGGTGGCGAGCCAGCCTAAGGCTTTATAACACCCAAAGATAAGCCCTTCCATTAGTTTGGTTTGTACGGGCTATAAAATGGATTTGTAAGGTCGTACCAAATGTGTTGAAACTCAATTTTAGTCAAAACTCAAGGTTCGTACCAAATTGTTTTTTAGATCCCCTCTTCTAATAAAACACTCCTAAACCTGCCACATGACCATTTTTTACATGCCCTCTTTGCCACATGGCATTTTTCTAGACCTGCACCATATGATTTTCCCGCTCATGTATCATTTACGATTTCTAATTAATGATCAATACCACATTTAAATAATTTCGTTTTTTGAATAATAACTTAATCCCTTAATTCTCGGGATGGATATCAATTACATCTCTTTACAACTAAGGAAACGTGAGTCAAAGAAGGAACGTAAATTAGACAATATTTCCATAATCCCGATTTACCAACCAGCGATCATGGAGTAATCCCCTTTCCAATTTCCATGTATATGCCCTTGATTCGCTCAATAATTACCTATAACTAAGCGAGTTCAACATTTCAATTATCAATGAGTAATTTCAAACATAAAATTCTTGCTCTCCAGAAATATAAAGTTTCGATGGAGGAAAGATTGATTCTGAGCCGGTAGGGAAGGTGCTAATGTAGTCGGAAGAATCAATTTCATCGACTTTACTTGTGAGTAATTGCTATATAGATTTATCATGTATCAAATAATATATATATATATATATATATATATATATATATATATATATATATATTGGTGTTCCAGTTGTCTTTTTGATACAACAAGAATGAAGAATCTGGAGTTTACAAGAGAAGTGATGACAGATAGTTAGTTTATACATGTTGAACTTCTTTTTAGAAGGATGGGGATGTTGAAATGGCCACAAATATAAAGAATTGTATAAAATTTTAAGAGATAGTCATATTACAGGTTTTATAGTAGTAAAGTAACTCTATTAACTAATAGTTAGCAATCACTTGTTTTAACCTTTTCTTTCTTACTTTTTTATATAATTTCTTACATGTATCCATGAAAATATCAATTCATAGTTTTTGGTTTTGGTTGTAAGGCAGTGTAAAAAAAGATACATTGGGAAACCACTTTAGTTTGTAATCTGTTAAAACTGATGCATGACATTGACGCGTCTTCTTTTCAATTTACTTTGTATCTTTGGTTTTATTAGTTTTGAGTTATGTCATATACCTCCCTCTGTCATAATTTACTTATATAAGTTTTCAAATGTAGCTTGTGCAAACAATAGTGAAGAGTGAGGGGAGATTCTCTTGGATTCTATATAATTTTATTTTCATTGATACATATTTAAAGCTAATCACATGTAAGTATAACGGTATTGTCCTAGAAAATGGGTTTTATCAACTCATTAGTGCTAATAAGCTTCGATTAACAACTCATTAATGACCTCCTAAACAATATAGAGCCAACAGTTGCACTGTTTATTATCATTCATCACTGCTGTTTATGGCCATCATTTTCTTAAACTTTGTTTTAGTTAGATCAATTAATATTTTCACATGTAGATCCCTCTTACTCAAACGAATGAACATTTTTTTGAATTTAGTATATGTTGCAAAACGAAAGAAATATAATGAATCCAATACATTGTGTTTTTTTTTCTTTTGTTGGTAATCACTTTGTCTTTTCCCTATATAGTGAAATGATGATATGCTTTGACTTATGTGTTGCATTGTTAGAGTGGTTATTTATTCAACTCCTCTTGAAAGTAACAAATTGATTGGAAAAATCCTAAAAGTCATCGGAAGAGAGGTTTTTTGGTTGATATATATAACAATAACCGTCCTTTTGAACCCATGAGTGGTGTTGGAGAATTAAATTAAAAGTGTATTTTAAACATATATTTAAAAAAATATATATATATTTACTTTAACAAAATTGATGTTTAATTAAATTTACCTTTTTTCATGAGTGAAATATAATTACCATATATATATATATATATATATATATATCTTATTTTTAAATTTATCAATCCTAGTTTTTACGGGTTATAACCTAGTATGACATTATAAATAAATAATTAACATTCTAGATATCTACAATTTTTATTCTTTTGAAAAGTATCAAGTATCAACATTCTAGTTACAATGTTTATTCTTTTGAAAATATTAACATTCTAGAAATAAAAATTTGGAACCGTCTCCGCGTTCCAAATCAAAAGTCAAACACGAGTACACGACACATTCTTCCCAACCCCCTTCAAAATATCATCGACTCGCCAATCATTCTCCCACCTTCAATTTCATCAATGGCGTCGATCTACACCTGCAACGAATGCGGCACCAATCTCAGCCTTCATTCCGCTAATCTCTTCCCTCCCGACTTCTACTTTGAGGCTGGCAACAAAGGCACTCTCTCTTTCGCAGCCATCGACTCCTCCAAATTCAGATTCGTCAAAGAAGATAAGATCAGACCCTTTTTCGAGACAATTAATTACTGGGGGATTCAGAGAAAACGAACTAAACTTCTTTGCAATAGTTGCGGTCGGCTCGTCGGGTATCTTTACGATGATGGCCCGCCGATGATGACTGGAACGGGGCAGTTTGGATTTGGACCCAGTCAGGCTATTCCTAGGGCTCCAAGGTATCGATTTAAGACCAAGGCGCTAAGGATTACTTCGGAAACTTGAAAATAATTTTGGGGATTTTAATTATATTGATTTTGTGTAGTATATGATTTGTATGTTGATATTTATGTATGTACATGTACAAATTGTGGTGTTTTATGGAAATTGATTGATATTTTCTACTCATGTAGTCATGTTTCATAATCAGATTGCATATATATGCTATCTATCAGTCAGATGATACCATGTTCAAAAGTGTTAAAATTTGGTTACAATCTATTGAAATAATTAAACACAATACAACTCTTGTATATGGTGATACTCCAACTATCAAGATGCACCTCGCCCAACAACAACCGATGTGCGTTTGGGACATTGATAAGAATATATACATGTCCAAGTTGGTAAATACCCAAATTATTACCTGATAATTTTACTAACTCTAATTATTAGTAATATACTCATCCTATCAACGGTTCACCATGCTGATTAAAGAAGTGTGTTGGCATGATCAACCATTATCCGATTTCCGGGCTTACATCCATCAAGAAGATGCACATAAAATAATAAAGTTGTATGGCACATTCAAGTTTTACTAACTATTCGAATCTTACCATGTTGCCAAACCAGACGTCCTCTAACCACGATCTACTTAGCACGATCCACAAGCATGGAATGTGTCTTTAGATTCCCCTCGTTCGTATTGTTCATGGTGGTCATCTACAAGGGCTTATTTACCTCCCTTAAGCACCATGAAATAAATACAATATAAATGAGTTTATTAAGTAAATGTTAATAAAAATACAATACAAACGAGTTAGGTAAATTGTACTTGGAAGAAACTTTGTCCCTTAAGCACCATGAAATAAATACAATATAAAGCCCAAGATCAGGCCTGATATGCCGCATGTACCAAAAGTAGGCCCGATGTACTAGGCCGCGTGCCTGATTGGGGACTCGAACGCATACACACAACGTACGCTTGCGTACGCCCAACGTATGCGTCCATTAAGCACTTTTTCCCATAAGCACTTAATGCTTACAACCAGACGTCCAAACTTCAGATCCAAACCTTGGGGAACGTCTTAATTCATAAAGTCATTAACTTAGAACCTTTGCATGACTCAAAAGAACTCAAACCCTAGATTTAGCATCCTACTTTCACCTAATGGACATAAACACATGCATAGTTGATCCACAACCATCAAGATGCTAACTTTATGGACTAGGGATTTCAGAAACATCAAGAGAAGCAGCTCCTAACTTCTAGAGTGGAAGAATCCCACTAGATCTCATTCATGTAGACCTGTCAATGGGGCGGGTTTGGAGCGAATCACCCTTGATCCAAACCCATTTAAAAAAATAAAAACATGATCCGTCCCGCTCCAATAACCCTCAGGGTCTTGATTAGTCGAATCCATACCCGTATCCACCGAATCAACGAATACCCGACCCATTAACCCGACCCTTTTATAATATTAAAATTTCTTAATTTTTATGTGTTCCACAAAGTAGTATTTCTCAAAAAGATAAAATGTCTATTTAAACAAGATGTACATAAATTAATACTCAAAGTCCAATACAATAAAAATCACATTTTACTTAGACATCGAGTTGTGTGTATATATATATATATATATATATATATATATATATATATATATATATATATATATATATATATATATATATATATATATATATAATGGGGCGGATCATAAGTGGAGCGGATCGACAATGATCCATACCCGACCCATTTATTAAAAGGGTAAACGGGTATGGATCGTAAACGGGTAAAAGGATCAAAAATTAAAATCCAAACCCGTTAAATTCTTACGGGTTTGGAGCGAATCAGGGTCAAAACCCGCCCCATTGACAGGTCTACATTCATGAGACTAAAAAGTGAACAAAACTCCATAATACTAGATCTAAGTAGGGGTGAGCATAATAACCGAAAAACCGAACCAAAACCAAATTAACCGATATAACCGAAGCATACTAACTGAACCATTTTAAAAATCGTTGGTTCGGTTTCTAATTTTTTGTTAACCGATAACTAACGGTTCAGTTATGGTTTTAAAGATTAACCGAACCGCTAACTTTATATTTTAATATATAAAAATTATAGATTATATATAAAACAATATAGTCAAACTTATTTAAGACCCATTAAAATTTCAAAAATATAATTCATTAATCATCACTTATCAAGAGATGAACGAGCAATCAAACCATCAAAGGCTGATCACACAGATCACGCAGACACACACAATCTTCCAATCATGCATTGAGTTAGATTATTGATTAATGTTGTAATTCCTAATCGGATAATTCTATAATTAGTAAACATTATTCACCATTTTTTTAATCTTTACACTCATAATCCTAATCAGAGTCTTCTCAGACCGTTAATCCTAATCAAAGATTGTTTTGACTTTGTAGTTCTTTTCGAAGGATTTTTTTACTTTATAATCACAACTTCTAGGTAAGTTAAATTTTTGGTTCTTCTTGACTTTGTGATATATTAAAAATGTATTTTTTTTGAATGTTTTTCTTTTTTTATTTACTGTTTTTTACTTAATCACATTGAATGTATATGAGTGATTGACTTTTTTTTAATCTAGATAACACATAAATGTTTTCGAAGGATTTAATCGCATTTAACGTGTATGAATGTTTGGCTTTATTTTAATGTTAATATCAATTATCAATATATAAAACTATTAATGTCAATTTTTTTAATGTTTTATATTTTTTTTGAATGTTTTTGATTTTGAATGTGACTATGTGTTATCTCACACCGAGTATCAAATGTACACATTTTATTCTATTACTATAAGCTAGGTTACAAACATTGGTGCCAAGGACTCTTTGGTATTCTCTTTTCATTTTTTAAGCCACTATACTTTCGCCATTTATATTATTTTGAACATTATGGTTAACCAATATTAACCATTAACCAAAACCGGTAACCGACAAAAACCATTAACCATAACCAATATTAACCATACCCAATGGCTACTAAAATGTATTAACCAATCATAATGGTTATGGTTCGGTTTTGACCAATAACCGAACCAAACTGCCCATACACACCCCTAGATCTAAGCATACAATGAGCAAGTTCCAATCTTTATACCTCAATGAAGCTGGAAATGATGAGTAGAAACCGGATCTACAAGCTCTCCTTTGGTCAAAGCTCCTTCTTCAAGACTCTTCTTCCCCAAGGCTCACCAACACACACTAAAACACACACAAAGAGGGTCAAATCTTCTCTAGAGGGGTTAGGGTTTCGAAATGAGGCTCAAAGGGTAATGGAGGATGAGAAATGAGGGGATCATGGGTCATAATGTTGCTTAAATAGGGTCCAAACCCTAAATTTTAGGGTTTGTCCCCTGTTTGCATTCGCCCAACGTACTCCCACTTTTCCCAAAATTGCAACAATGCCCCCTAAGGACCAAAATTGCAAACTATTTACACAACAAGGGTAAAAAATGAAAAGTACCTTGAATTAGGTGTTACACTCCTTTGCTTCGATCTTGCATGGACATTGCCAAACTATTCTTTGAGGATGTTCCAACCTGTTCACATAGAGGATGCTGCTTTGTTCTTTGGTAAAGGGTTATGTGGCTCGATTAAGGACATTATGGTTTGCATGTTTCCTTTCTTTGTGGACATTCAATGGCGAATTTCTTCATTACCCATTATATTTGGTGGTTTGGGGCTATACTCAGCGGTAAAGGCTTCCTCCTAAGCTTTTGTGGCCTCGCGTGCTCAATCGTGGGTGTTACAAGATCACATCTTACGAGATAGTGACATATGTGGTATAGATTCTAACTATTTTGAGCTTTGACATATCTTTGTGATATGATTCAGGCTTTTACTTCAACAATTTGACTAATAAGGACACCGCCCCTCCTAAAGCCCAACATGCATTGGCGAGTGCCCTCTTAAGAAAATTGTCTAAGACATGGAAGTTCACTTAGACATGACTATTAGGTATAAAGCTACTTTTAAATGTCAATGTGCACCACATGCTCATGATTTACTTATGACTATTACCATTGATGGTTTTAGCCAATATATGTCACCGATGGAGTATCGTACTATCTTCAAGTATTGCTTCCCGATTTCTTTATTTCCGGTTGACGAGGTATGCCCGATTTGTCACAAGGCATGCTTGGACTCTTTTTTTTGGGGCGCATGCAGTTCATTGTAGAGAACTCCTAGATTTCAAGTACCAACACGATCTGGTTAGGGATGTTCTTTTTGAATATTTAGACACGCCGAGTTTTCTTCCTAGAAAGAGGCACATGTGAACTTATTGACTAACTCTTTGGAAGGAAGATCAACGCTTAAACCAACTGACGTTTTAGTTTTTGGATGGGTAGGACGAAATCACTCATGTGTGGATCTAACAAAGGTTTCCCTTCTTGTGGGCTTGGTGAGTGAGGTTTTTACTGTAGGCCTGACTGCTTTCAAAGCGGCAAAACATGAGGAAGTGTGTATGAAAATTAAACACACCTTTATATCTTTCATGTTTGACACTTTTGGTATCCTTGCGCTAGATGATGTAGAGCTCATCAATAGAATCCAACGGGTTATGCATAGTAATATCTACTCTAATAAATGAAGTTTTTTTTGCCACATGTCATATTCTCATTCAATTCGCCAAATGTCATTTTGTGGTTATTTTTAATTAATTTCTTTTCCACATGTCATTTTATGGGTTTTTTCTATTTTAATAAATTCCACATAATATATTAATGTAATAATTACAATAAATATAGTAATAAATGATTATCAATTTCATTAATGGACTTAACTTCTTATTTCAAAATTCTCAAATTAAAGCTCATTACTTTATTTTGTTTATTTATTTAAATTTAAAAGATAAAAAAATCAATTTTAATAATTTATTATTATTATTATTACAAATCCAAAGTTCTTAAATATTTAGACATGTATATTTAATTTTTTTTAATTAACCCATGTAATACATGTGTCTTACACCTAATTATAGTAATGTTATGACTTAAAGATGTATGAATGTGGTTCTTAAA